ATGTAGGACCCTAGTAATTGTGAGTAACAGAAATAAAACCCTTAGTGGAAGAAACTTGTTGCATCATATGAAACACTGGGGTAGGAGAAAGATAGATAGAAGTCCGAGTTAAAACGTTGGGCCATTACAGCACGTCTTAATTGCAAATAGTAAAAGTAAATCTGACTAGGAGGACCAAATTTGATTTGCATAGCAGAGAATGTCAACGACTTGCCATGATCAAAAACCTGTTTAAAATGAGTAATACCATTGGCTTGCCACTTAGGTACATATTGAAGCTTGGCCAATTCAAGATATGTGGGATTATGCCAAAGAATACTGAAACTGGTATACATTATGACATCTTGTAATTGTTCATTTTTATGCCAGACCTTATGCATCAACCTATATGTGGGATAGGATCTATTCAATTTAGCTAAAGAATGTGCCTCCAAGCCTTCAGACAAAGATGTAGAGTTGACAAAGAGAAGAGCTATATTTAAAGTGGCATCATGGAACAGTAAGGTGTTACCATCAGGGGGAGACATACAGTACCTTTCACCATATGCTGCAATTGTGCAGCCCCATAATAAGGGTGAGGGAATGCAATTTTTGGGTGTTGAAGTTGTTCAAGTCTAATCTGAGGGGGACCCTGTTTCCATAGGAGGGTGTGGTAAAGAGAGGTAATTGTGCAAAAGGTCTTAAGAGGAATCACCACTGGGGAATTATGTAAGAGGTACAGTAACTGGGGCATGAGTATCATTTTAACTAAGTTAGCCCAGCCTATCAGAGAGAGCCAAAGCTTCTCCCATATCTGTATTTTATCCTGAAAACGTTTAAGCAATGGGTTATTATTGAGACCCAGGAACTCAGTGAGTGTTCTAGAAATCACTCTATCTAAATACTTAAAATTGGAAACTATAGGTACCGGACAAGATAGAGGAAGATTAGGAGTTACTGAACTATGTCTAAGAGAGCTGATTTGGGCCAATTAATAGTTAGGCCCGAGTACAGGCCAAAGTCCCCCTATAACCTGCATCACAGTTTACAAAGAGATAGTAGAGTCCTCCAACAAAAGCAACATGTCATGTGTATATAATATAAGCTTTTCACAAACCTCCCTGTACTGAAAGCTCCAGAGAGACACAGAGACCCAAATACGGGTGGCCAGGGGCTCTATCGCCAAGGCAAACAGTAAGGGTGATAGAGGGCAGCCCTGTCAAGTGCCCCGACCCAGTGTGAATGGGTTGGATACTAGAACATACTAGAACACCTACATGGATAACAACCTTAGGGGCTTAGTATAGGAGCTCACCCAAGTGATAAATGTTTTTCCAAAGCCAAAGCTGGTCAAGACCTCTCAAATGTATTGTCATTCAATACTATAGAATTCCTTGTTGGCATCCAATGACAACAAGATTCTGGATCCCATATTGTCAGAGTGAGACTGCATGTTTAAGAAAAGTCTGCGTAGGTTGACAGCGGTAGATTTGTGAGGCATGCAGCCTGCCTGGCCAGAGTATATGATACTGGAAATGACCTTGTTAAAGCGCCTAGCTAGGATCTTTGCTAGGATTTGTTTTATCTGTAAAAGAGAGATGGGTCTGTATGAATTAGAATCAGTGGGGATGTTTGCCCAGCTTCAATAGTAATACAATGGTGGCCTGAGCCAAGGAATCCAGTAACCTCTGGAGATGAAAAGGAATCATTAAAAGCTGAAAGCAATTGGGGGAGGATGGATTCTGCTTATTGCAAGTAGACTTCCATAGGGAGTCCATCTGCCAGTTGGATTTTAGAGGTGGTGAAAGAAACTACCACTTCCTGTACATCATCTATAGTGATGGGAGAATCCAGCAAGGCCCGTTGGGTGTTGAATAATTGAGGCAGCCACACAACTCGTAAATAGGCCTTCAATTCAGCAAAAGTACAAGATACCTTAACTTGATAAAGATTATAATAGAAAGTGACCAGCTTTGCCATCACCCCATCAGGGGTATTCAATAGGGTGACATTCAGAGAGTGCAAAGTGGTAAATTGTGCTCCAACAAATTTAGGTAAGAGGCAGCCAGTTTGTTCCCCCTCCTTGTAAAAATCCTGTTTAGCAAAAAAGTGCTTATTCTCCTCTACAAAGTGGATCCATAAAAAACTTGGCAGTGTTAGCTGCTATTTTGGTATGTGAGGAAATGAGATGTAGCCAGAATGCATTCATTTTCCAGGGAGGCCTAGTGAGGGAAGTGATGGGTCTAACAATTACCATCACCACTAGGCGGGAGTGGTCTGAGATTCCCCTATGAACATTTTTAATATTCCCAGACACAAATCAAGTCTAGATAAGGAACCATGTGTTTTGGAAAAACAGGAAAATTCAGTACACAGTGGGTTTCTTGCCCTCCAGGTGTCCAACCATCCCACCTCCTCCTTGAATTGTGCCAGGAGAGTACCCCTGCCAGCAGGACTCATGCCTACAGAACCATGTCTATCCAAGTGAGAGTGGACCGCCTCATTAAAATCCCCCATGACAAATGGGAAGGTCTGGTTTGTCCAACAGAAAATCCAGGACTGTCACAGAACCATAGTAGAGAAAGGAGGCGGTACATAGACCAGGGACACAACACAATGAACTGCATATATTTTACAGTGTACTAATATACATCTACCTTCATGGTCAATACAAGTAGAGGACACCTGAAAATCCAAGGACCATTGTACCAGTAAACTCCCCCCTGGAGTAGGAGGTATGAGTAGAATGGTAGGAACAACCAACCCAAGCATAATCAATGCACCTTAGCATATCCCTAGTCAAATGCGTCTCCTGCAGCCCATAAATCCAGAGGTGGTATTTACGCAGTGACGCATTGACCATGAAGCATTTCAAGATATCATGCAGCCCTCATACATTCTATGAAAAAATCAGTATATTAGCCCTTGGGAATAGTGAATATTATCAAGCTGCCCACCTGTATGGAGGAGCCCCCAGTAATGTGTATGTTCCCCATGTAACCTAAGGATAGCAAGGTTAAATACAAACACTGTAGTTATTGCTGAAGTCCAATTTCACCACATGCCTTGTGACACTTTGACATCTGGTGCAAGAGAAAAAGTAAAAATTGTGAGAACTGGCCCCCTGTCAGGAATGGACTGGCCAGCAATGGTGGGACTCACCTGCCTTTTGATCTGCAGTACCAGGGCTGGCCAGCGGGTGCTCCCAGCAATCAGAGACTCAACCTTTCAGCCAGCTAACACCTGGAACTGATGATACTGGTGTATTTAAGGGATGGCCAGACTTGCAGACTCTGCCTTGGTGTTGTGTTTGTCCTGGGCCCTGTATCTGTCCTGCATCCTGTTTCTGTTCCTTTGCTGACCCTGCCTGATCTGAACCGCTGCTGACTTCTCCTGCTCTGATCCCGGCTCGCTCCTGACCATCCCTCTGCCTGACCCTCTGTACCACGCTGCTTGCTACCTGTTCTGATCCCTGGCTTGTGACCCTGACCATCCCTCTGCCTGACCCTCTGTACCACGCTGCTTGCTACCTGTTCTGATCCCTGGCTTGTGACCCTGACCATCCCTCTGCCTGACCCTCTGTACTCGCTGCCCGCTACCTGCTGAACCTGGCCTGTGACCCCGACCCATCTCCGCTTGCTCCCCCTGTACCTACCTGCCCTATTGATATTGACCCGGCCTGCCTGACGACGCTTGCTTGTATGTACTGTTATCTGTGGGTGGTTGGTTTGGTTTGTTTGCACTGTATTATGTTTTAGTATTGCACTGCGTTTATGTTTGTATGGTTAGTGTTAATAAATTATATTGTTTATCACATATCTGAAGTCTGCGTTTCCCTGCGTCAGTCACACACCTCTGGTCACACCTGGGAGCCCTGACATTACACCAAGGCCAATCCTGACCAGAAGTGGCTGCACAGGGAAGCCATCTTGGCTTGTTGCTGGGAAGGATGGATCTGGATGAGGTTGAGTATTTATCTCTGCTAGTGCTTGATGACAGGGAGTATGCTTATCAGACTCTGAAGGAGTATCCCCGGGATGAACTGCTAGAATGTATACGGCTCGCTCATGTTCTAGTAGATCAGGGCACAGATTTCTCTATGGTGCAGCCATTGATTAAGGTTTGTGTTGAGTTGGTTTCATCTGGTTTCCCCGAATGCAGGGATGAATTTTTGCCACCATTTTGTGCAGACCAGGTAGAGTCCCTGGTGTGGTTATTAGAGGATGATGTGGGTTACTTTCTGGAACGTTATTCCACATGTTCACCACAGATACTAAGAGATTGTATAAACGCAGTGCAGTCTTTGGTCAGACAGGCTTTGTGTAAGCTCAGCTTTGTTCAACCCATACTGCAGACATGGACAGACTTGTTGCACCCAGCCTCAGTCAGCTTACAAAGACCCAGTCCTGCTTCTAATCTATTTCCTCAAAGCTCTACTCCTGTATTCCCAACAACTCCCCCAGTTACAGCCCAGTATACTTGGCTATCTACCGCATGTCAGTACCCTGTTCCCACTCGCTGCACCTATCCTGCCTTTAACCCTGTAAAAAAGCCCTCTGTAGCAACTGCTCCCTCTCCTGTTCCATCCTCCAGTTCTTCTCTGCCTCCAGCTGCTCCATTCGTTTGCAGACCTGCGTTTACTTGCAGTGCTCCAGTAGTTAAAACCAGAAAAAAGCGAAAATTCTTTCCAACCAATACCATCCTGCCAGTATCCGAACCGTGAACCTGCCTTCCGAACCTGCCTTCCGTGGTTCAGCCTGAATCCTCTACTCAGCCTGAAGCCTCTACTCAGCCTGAAGCCTCTACTACTGGCCTGAACTCAGCCTGCCTCTACTCGGCCTGAAGCCTCTACTCGGCCTGAAGCCTCTACTCGGCCTGAAGCCTCTACTCGGCCTGAAGCCTCTACTCGGCCTGATGCCTCTACTCGGCCTGAAGCCTCTACTCGGCCTGAAGCCTCTACTACTCGGCCTGAGCCTCTACTCGGCCTGAAGCCCTCTACTTAGCCGGAAGCCGGCATTCAGCCTGATGCCTCTACCCAGCATGATGAACTGATCCAGCCTGACGATCCTATTAGGCCAGTTGACTCGATGCCCGCTGTTGATCCAGATGATCCGGTACCTGATCCGGTGCCCGCTATCGTGCCAATTGACTCAGACTCAGAGCCCGCTGTCGTACCTGGTGACCCGATGCCCGCTGTCGAGCCAGACGATCCAATGCCTGGTGACCCGGTGCCCACTGTCGTGCCTGTTGACTCGGAGCCCACTGCCTTGCCAGATGACGCGGTGCCCGCTGTCGAGCCAAATGACCTGATGCCTGGTGACCCGATGCCCGCTGTCCTGTCAGACGATCCAATGTCTGACCCAGTGCCCGCGGTCATACCAGTTGACTCGGAGCCCACTGCCTCGCCAGATGACGCGGTGCCCGCTGTCGAGCCAAATGACCTGATGCCTGGTGACCCGATGCCCGCTGTCCAGCCAGACGATCCAATGTCTGACCCAGTGCCAGCGGTCATGCCAGTTGACTCGGAGCCCACTGTCGTGCCTGGTGACTCGGTGCCCGCCGCTCCGCCTGGGGCCCGAGACCTGTCGCTCCGTCTGGGGGTCCGGCGCCCGCCGCTCCGCCTGGGGGTCCGGCGCCCGCCGCCCCGCCTGGGGCCCGAGACCTGTCGCTCCGCCTGGGGGTCCGGCGCCTGGGGGTCCGGGCCCGCCGCCGCTCCGCCTGAGGGGGCCCGAGACCTGTCGCTCCGCCTGGGGGTCCGGCGCCCGCCGCTCCGCCTGAGGGCCCGAGACCTGTCGCTCCGCCTGGGGGTCCGGCGCCCGCCGCTCCGCCTGAGGGCCCGAGACCTGTCGCTCCGCCTGGGGGTCCGGCGCCCGCCGCTCCGCCTGGGGGCCCGATGCCTGTCGCCCCGCCTGGGGGCCCGGCGCCGCGCCCGCCTGGGGGCCCGATGCCCGCCCCCCGCCTGGGGGCCCGATGCCCGTCGCCCCGCCCGGGGGCCCGGTGCCCGTCGCCCCGCCCGGGGGCCCGGTGCCCTGTCGCCCCGCCCCCGTGCCGGGGGCCCGGTGCCCCCCGCTGCTCCGCCTGGGGGCCCGCTGCCCGCTGCTCCGCCTGGTGGCCCGCTGCCTGCTGCTTCGCCTGGTAATCCGATGTGCCTCTGCCCGGAGTCCTGCCCGATGTGCCTCTGCCCGGAGTCCTGCCCGATGTGCCTCTGCCCGGAGTCCTGCCCGATGTGCCTCTGCCCGGAGTCCTGCCCGATGTGCCTCTGCCCGGAGTCCAGCCCGATGTGCCTCTGCCCGGAGTCCAGCCCGATGTGCCTCTGCCCGGAGTCCAGCCGATGTGCCTCTGCCTCTGCCCGGATGTGTGCCCCTGCCCGATGTGCCTCTGCCCGGAGTCCAGCCCGGTGTGCCGCTGCCCGGAGTCCAGCCCGGTGTGCCTCTGCCCGGAGTCCAGCCCGGTGTGCCTCTGCCCGGAGTCCAGCCCGTGTGCTGCCCGGAGTCCAGCCCGGTGTGCCTCTGCCCGGAGTCCTGCCCGTGTGCCTCTGCCCGGAGTCCAGCCCGGTGTGCCGCTGCCCGGAGTCCAGCCCGGTGTGCCGCTGCCCGGAGTCCTGCCCGGTGTGCCAGTCTTTGATATCCCGCCAGTTACCAGACCCGGGCGGTGGAACATTTTGCCCAGCTAGGACTGTTTGGAGCGTCCTGAGGGCCGCTCCTTGAGGGGGGGGGGTACTGTCAGGAATGGACTGGCCAGCAATGGTGGGACTCACCTGCCTTTTGATCTGCAGTACAAGGGCTGGCCAGCGGGTGCTCCCAGCAATCAGAGACTCAACCTTTCAGCCAGCTAACACCTGGAACTGATGATACTGGTGTATTTAAGGGATGGCCAGACTTGCAGACTCTGCCTTGGTGTTGTGTTTGTCATGGGCCCTGTCTCCTGCTCTGATCCCGGCTCGCTCCTGACCATCCCCTCTGACCCTGACCCTCTGTACCACGCTGCTTGCTACCTGTTCTGATCCCTGGCTTGTGACCCTGACCATCCCTCTGCCTGACCCTCTGTACCACGCTGCTTGCTACCTGTTCTGATCCCTGGCTTGTGACCCTGACCATCCCTCTGCCTGACCCTCTGTACTACGCTGCTAGCTACCTGCTGAACCTGGCCTGTGACCCCGACCCATCTCCGCTTGCTCCCCCTGCACCTACCTGCCCTATTGATATTGACCCGGCCTGCCTGACGACGCTTGCTTGTATGTACTGTTATCTGTGGGTGGTTGGTTTGGTTTGGTTTGTTTGCACTGTATTATGTTTTAGTATTGCACTGCGTTTATGTTTGTATGGTTAGTGTTAATAAATTATATTGTTTATCACATATCTGAAGTCTGCGTTTCCCTGCGTCAGTCACACACCTCTGGTCACACCTGGGAGCCCTGACACCCCCACACAATGATGCTGGGGTCAAACCTTGAAAAGCATTGGATATATGACAAGGATAGCCAGGAAGAACCCACGAGGAACATCCATGAGGTGACCAGTCCACCTTGTCTAACTGCAGGGTCCAAAAGAGCCATAGTATAAGGAATATAGGAAGAGTCATCTCCAAATGCATGACGTGCAAAAAGGAAAAAAAAAAAATCACATTCTTGAACAGTTCCCAAAATGGCAAACATAGGCAGCCCCCTTAGCACACAGAAGAAACTAAACAAGTTGCATGTCACTCAAACACCACCAAGGAAGGAATGTATGCAGAGGAAAGATCAGAAAATGGGAATAGTAAAGAAGGAGGGTATAGTCAGCCAGCAACATCCTATGGTGGTGACCTGAGGGAGACTTCATTGACACCCAGCCACTGCACCGCTTTACCTGTCTCAGAAAAATGTGCATGACCTCGCATGGCATATTTGAGTTAGAGACATTGAAGCCATTTCTTGACATCTGAAATCTTTGCCATTTGGTGCTGCACCTCTGCAGAGAAGTCTGGGTAAAAGGACACTCTGGCTCCTTTGTACTGTATAGGTGACTGTTCTCTGGCCAAACGTAGAATATTTGTCCGGTTTCTATAATGTAGCATATGCACCAGAACAGTCCTGGGCACATCTCCTAGAATGGCTCTGGCAGGAACACAATGTGCTCCTTCCACAGAAAACAATGGGGCGAAGGAAGCCTTACCGAAGGTATCCAGTAACCCCTCAGCACGTTCAGGCAGCCCAACTATGCAGACATTGTTGCATCACAGTTTGTTTTCAATGTTATCCACTTTATCTGTAACCACATGGACTTGGCAAGCAGTAACTCAGGACTCAGCCACAAATGGAGGGATCTGATCCTATAGGTTGCTAATGCACTCTTCTGTGGTGGTCATTCATTCTCTGATCTTTTGTAAGTCCTGTCTTAGGAAGGAAACTTCCTCCATCAAGCCATGTAGTTGCTCCTTTACTGACTGTGCTGAAGCTGTAAATTTATTCACAGCCCACAGGATATCACTCAATGTGGGCTGTTCATCTCCCTGTGTGGGTACACTATCCTCCTCTGCAGAGTCATCTGCTGCCTCCTGGATAGCCATTAAATCAGGGATGGAGACCGTAAAAGCTGTGTCCCCCAACATCTCTGAGCAACCCTCCCGAGCTCCAGCATCAGCTGCACATCAAAATGTTTGTGTGTGAGGCAGAGTATGTTGTCATCCTTTCCCATGGAGCGGCCGTTCTGTCCCCATTTATTAGTGGGATTGGGGACCCTTGGGCTTCTCACAACTGCGTGCATCTATGGTCACCGCTGCTTCCTTAGATTTACAGGTCTTCATAGCTGCGTGGTGTTCTTTGCGGGCATACTTCGGTGTCATGTTGAGCCTCTAAGGCCGCCTCTTCTTCCTTAGATTTCCAGGTCATATGTGCAAGCAGCTCCATCTGGGTTTCAGTAGAAAGCTGGGGCAGAGAGGAAACTAGTGGTGGTGTTGTGGATCAGGTCTGTTGCCAGGAGATGAATCAGAACAGGATCAGAACCAAGAGATTTTTGATGTGCGTCCACTCACATGCCCATCTTGGCCACTCCCCCAGTGATGGCCTTAAAGCACAGTTAAAATTGTTGCTTCTCGAAAAATGGAATTTTATTTTTTTTCCTGTAGTACTTGTTCATCAGGACAGTGCTCAATCCCCATACTATTTTTTGCCAATCCAATCCTTAGCCATTACTTTCTTTTAACCATTTTGCTCCCACTTCTATGGGATTTGGCCCCCAAACTTTAGCCATGTTCTATGAACCTGCCTTGAACCAAGCCTAGATAGGTTTGGCTCATTCCTACTCACTGAGGGTGGGCATAATGAGCAGAGTGGATCAGGTTTTGCAGGCATGTTTAATTTGGTTTCTTCCAACAGATCCCCATGTATTGCCACATCTAATGTTGTTTTGTACTATAATTCTGTGTACATGTGGGTATAGTTCTAAAGGATAAGTTCACCTTTTGGACAAAAATAATAAATGCACATTTTTTTGCAGTTAAAAAAATGTGCATTTATTATTTTTGTCCAAATGAGCCAGTAAAGCATTACACCAGCGATCAGTAGATCGTTGATGCCATACAGGTCTCCTGTAGACCTGTCAGAATATCTGCTTGCTGAACGGGATGTACGAGCAAGCAGATATTCTGACAGGAAGCTTCAATGAACATTGAAAATTACAAGCCTACAACCGCTAAGGCTACCGTAAATGAATGATGTGGATATGTGGGCGGAGCCCCGCACGGCCACGCTGTTTTCATGTCTGACAGTATGGGGAAAGTACTCCCCATATTATCTGTAGAACATGGGTAGAACATGTTTCCAAAGGTGAACTTATCCTTTTAACCACTTGCCTACCAGGCACTTATACCCCCTTATTTACCAGGCCAATTTTCAGCTTTCAGCGCTGCCGCACTTTGATTGACAATTGCGCTGTCATGCAACATCGTACCCATATGAAATTTTGATCATTTTTTTCCTCACAAATAGAGCTTTCTTTTGGTGGTATTTAATTGCCACTGGGCACTTTGCTTTTTGCGCTATAAATAAAAAAAATGCAAACAATTTGAAAAAAAAAAAAGTTTCTTTGTTTCTATTATAAAATTTTTCAAAAAGGTAATTTTTCTCCTTCACTGATGTGCGTTGATGAGGCAGCACTGATGGGCACTGATAGGCAGCACTAAAGGGCACTGATAGGCAGTACTAATGAGGTGGCACGGATAGGCGGCACTAATATGCAGCACTGATGATGGGTACTGATAGACGGCACTGACTGGCACAACCGCTGGGCACTGACTGGTGGCATTGACTGGCAGCACTGCTGGGCTGCACTGGTGGGTGGCACTGGTGGGCAGCACTGGTGGGTGGGCACAGGTGGGTGGCACTGGTGGGCACAGGTGGGTGGGCACAGGTGGGTGGCACTGCTGGGCACAGGTAGGTGGCACTTCTGGGCACAGGTGTGTGACACTGCAGAGTGGCACAGGTGGGTGCACTGCTGGGCACAGGTGGGTGATCTGCTGGGCACGGGTGGGCGGAGCTAGTGGGGGCACTGCTGGGCACAGGAGGGTGGAACTTGCTGGTGGCACTGCTGGGCACCGATCATCAGGGCACTGATCATCAGTGCCCTGATGATCGGTGCAGATCCTCGCTCTGACAACTGCCGATTCTCGGCAGTACTTTCCTCACGATCTGACAGCTTGAGGAAAGTGCAGCCGAGAACCGGCACTTGCATTTCCCTGTGATCAGCGTGTCATTGGACACCGCTGATCACGTGGTAAAAGGCCGCTGTGATTGGCCTTTTACCACATCACGTGATCAGCTGCGTCTGTAGGACACAGCAATCACGGAGATCGCCGGGTGCGTGCCCCCTGGGGCACGCAGGAGAGCGCGTTCTGGGAGGACATCATATGACGTCCACCCAGAACTGGCCGGCCGCAGTGCAGCCGTCATTTGGCTATCTGCGGTCGGCAACTGGTTAAAATGGTTTTAGGATCTTGTAATTGTCTCTGGCACTTAAAAAACCCTGGATAGCTAAGTCTTACCACACCTTCTAAATTATTTTGAAGCTATCCATAACAGGTAAAAGTTTGACCGTACAAATATACACACTTAGACATCCATGATAGACTTAAGTCTGCCATACATGGACAGGCTAAACATGACAGGTTCAGCAGAGACCTGCTAAATTTCAATCCATGTATGGTCAGGGTGGTTGTATAGAAGTCAATCTACCAATCAACTTCTGTATGACTGCCCTGTTGTCTGTACTGCCTGCTATAGCAGTGCTGATCAATGTACTCTTGACAGTGAGAGTCTTCCCACTGTCAGAATACAAAGGCTCAGACATTCTGTGCTCCTGCTCCTTTGTCACCACTTTGCCTCTGGGTATGTTTGATCATGCCCCTTAGATTTAAGAGGCACCCCCCTGCTATGGAATTTAAACTCATACTGTCTTAATTATGGTTGTTAATGATTGAATCTGCACTATCTCTGAGTATTGGTGCACGAGTGTTGTCACATGTATGCCAGTTAGCATATGAGAAGCCTTTTTTAGCTACTACTAGAGGTTACTAGAGACTACAGTAGAGTTCACGGCCAGCATGAGAATAAATGTTGAGATACTTCTTGACTGTACAGCCAAGGATGTTGTTATTATTATTAGTCAGAATTTATTAAGTGCCAACAGTTTGTGCAGAGCTTTACAAAATAAAAGGTTCTAATACAATTCTTTGCAGGAAACTTAGGAAGGCTCTGCTCATGGGATTTTAAAAATAAAAGGAGGATAAGTGGTAATAACTGTGAGATATGAGCTAATAGAGAAGGTGAAAGTACAGTTTTATGGTGGAAGCCAGATAGGCTTTCCTAAAGAGTAGAGTTCTCAAGGATTGCCAAAAAGGCGGACAGCGTAGGAGATAGCTAGATTGATTGAGGTAAGGTGTTCTAGAGGATGGAAGAGAGCTAGATTGATTGAGGTAAGGTGTTCTAGAGGATGGAAGAGGCTCTGGGAAAGTCCTGGAAGAAAGCACTGAAGGAGGTGACAAGGGAGCTTTTGTTAATGGAGGCATCCAGATTCTGATAAGCCCACAACTTCTGAGAGCAGAAGGTCTTGGGTGGGACTAGTGTGGATGGCTTGGGTGGTATTTCTGTCTCAATAGTTTTTTTTTAAAAAAGGTTTCGGACAAAATGTGCAATATTGTCAGTTCAACAGTGCAATCCAGAGTTGTACAATAAAATTATTTACGTCAAAATCAGGGTAAGCCCTGGTTCATACTGATGCGAATGTGATGCAGTTTTGATGCAGTTTAGCATACACAAATTCGCATGTCAAGGGATTTTACATAGTGTTCTATGGAGGCAGTTCACATCTATGTGTTGCGAATATGATGCGGTTAAAAAAAAGCCTCCTGTGTACATTTAGTGCAGTGCGAATGTGAGCTCCATCTACTTCAATAGAACCTTAGTAAAAACACACTCCTTGGTTCACATGTATTCAAATATATATTTTTTTATTCTCTGCAACTCTGCCCAAAACCCCTCCTCTCTCCTCATTTCCTGTTAATGTTCTCACTGTAAACATGGCTCCCAGATGTAAGAAGAGCACAGTCGATAATGAGGAGCTGATCAGACTTATAAGGCAAAGGCCTTGCATTTATGACTGCAGGGATCCTCAATACAAAGACAACAGCAAGAAGAACAGAGGCTGGGATGAGATTGCTCACATTATGTTTCCAGATTGGGACAATTTTTAAAACCAGGAGTACGCCAACAAAAGTGTAAGCAAATTTAGTAGTACATATACGTGTGTATAGGGTTTGCGTGGTTAGAATTTTGGGTAAGTGGGGATTTGGGGTTAGAGGTTAGTAGGGGATTTGGGGCTAGGTGTTAGTGGGGAACTTGAGGTCAAGGTGGTTAGTGGGGAATTTGGGGATAAATGGGTTAGTGGGGATTAGGGGTTAGGAGTTAGTGGGGAATTTGGGGTTTGGGAGGTTAGGGGGAGGGGAGTCGTAGCGAATCTAGGAACTGTGAGCGCTGAGAAGGATCAGGGTTGGGTTCTGCAGATGAGCCATTTAAGTTACAGAGAGACAAGCATAAAATTCACTGAAGCGGTTGCTTTGGGGTTGCTTACCCTCTGTCATTGTGATGTGTGCATAAAAGTGGATTTTAGATGCGACAGCTTTACATTTTACTTGTTTAGCTAATAGGGCAGAGGGTTTGTTTCCATAGGCATATCAGATCAGTCGTATGATGGTCAAAGGTGGCTTAGAAGTAGGTACATAGTTCCTCCCTGAGTTTGCAGAGAAGAGCAGTGTCTGATGCGTTGGGAGATAGTTTATTGGATTGTTTGAATTTCCAGATTTGGTCTAAACATGTGTTAATTTTTTCAGCTCCTATATGCTTCCCATGGACCCAAAACTTAATAAAGGATGGATAAGCAAGGATGTATTCATGCTCCAGGAGGTAAATTGTTTTCCTTCCGGCCTGAATGAAAGAGTGATTGTAACTGGGGCATGGTCCAACCACAAAATTAAGGCTATAGTGGATTGAGAAATGGCCTGCAAAGTGCTTTTGTATGTCAGGAAAATATCAATTCTGGAGTAGGATTTCTAGGCTGCTGAGCAGAAAGTGTAATCTCTCTCTGATCCATGTAAGCACCTCCGGGGGTCATATAAATCTTCTAAATGCATGAGCAAGGAGAGGGCAGAGGGTCTTTTCTTAACCTTCCTGGTGGTATTCCCAAGTGTAGTTTGGGGTTATCTTTCAGTACAAAAAGCGGTAACCCCGAGCTACACTTAGGATTACCCTGTATCATTGCTCATGGATTCCCTCCAGCACTTACCTTGTCCTTCACTCCCGCGATGTCCCCCCTGCAACGTCCCCAGCCATCTCCTCCGGCCAATGCCGGCGTCCATCTTCCGGGTTCCATTCCCTGCGAGCGCCGGGATTTATGGGGGACGGAACCGGCGGGAAATTAAAACATTTTAAAAGTGACATTCACTCAGTACACTAAAATCACATAGTATAACATTACTGTATCAAAGCATTTCACATACATTTTGTCCCGAGTGCTTTGTCCTGTGCCCTGCCTGCATTTTTACTGTTCTTTCTGTCTGGAAACTGAGAAAAAGTCTATGGCGTCCAAAAAGCATCCCTTTAGGTGAAAAAGCGGTTTTAAACCAGCTAGAGAACAGCGATAGTAAATTAGAACCACTTGCAGAATTGAGTGATGATTCTTGGGGAAATTCGTCATCAGACACTGAAAACGATTTTGCGACTAAGCTCAGTGATGTGCGAACTTGGCGCTCTATTTCAAATTTCAGTGTTTTTGGTTTGATTACATTATTGAATTACATTTATTATTATTATATTATTATTTTTTAGGATTATTTATTAAATTATAATTTATGATTTTGTGTTTCAAATTTTATCATACCCGGGATGTTTACTAGACTCTTGTTCGGACAGATTTCAGTTAGTTATTCCTAAGGATTACAGGCCTACAATAAAAAAAAAAACAAATTTCCATGCAAAAAACTGTACAGCTTCGAGCACAGAAATACTGACATAATCCCACCGCTAGGGAGGTTAAGTTGGCCAAAGCAATGTAGGGATTGGTCAGATACAGTGTTAAAATCTCTGCGTTCTTTTGGATATTGAGAGAATTTACTCATTATCAGCTTAAAAAAGCATTTTTGATGGGTGTTGGATGCATAAATGTTGACCATCACGAAAGGCATATTGTCAAAAAGGGCATCGAAAATAAGGTATCTTCCAGTGGGGTCAGCTTCTAGGTATTAAAGCTGGAAAGAGATGCATAAATGCAAAAAATGTGTCTCGTGTACACATAGTATGTCGGCTTTCTAAGATATAGCTTCTTGCCATAGTTGTGATCTTTTAAAAGGGGTGTTGAGACCTCTTGCGTTAATGGTAGTGATACATAATAACATTGGGAAAGGACTCTGGCAGTGGTAATTGGATGCAGAGAAAGATTACTACTTGGAAATATAACGGTGTTTGAACAAAATAAGTAGGAAAATAAGAAAAATTATACAGAATATGTGAAAGGTATGATACCAGCAAAGCAGGGAAAGAAACGTAAGAACAACAATAACAATCAGCAGCCTTGTGCATAGTGCACTTTATGCCTTGGGTATGTGAAAAAAAAAACAGAATAGGTCAAACAACTCAAACAAGAGCCAATAGAAAGTAGAACAATATATCCCACTATGTGGCTGTTACAAAAAATGAACAGGAATATTCCAGTACACCTGCAAGGAGGGAGGACTGTGGGGCAGGCAAAGCATTCTGAATTACAGCAAAGATTTAAGCTGATTTTTTGTTATGCCTCTAAAAATTTGGGAGCTGCATTATTTCTTGGAGAGGTTCCTGGTAGTGAGGATGCCAGGCCCCAGTTGCGCAGATTTTTATATCCATCCTTCGGGTAGTAAATGGTAACTTATTGGTTTTGGTACATTACTAGCAGTTTTGTAGGAAATCCCCAATGATAGATATTGTTGTGATCCTGCAATATTGTAGTGATAGGTTTAAATTCCTTCCTTCTTTGTGAAGTTGCAGCAGACAAGTCCTGGCAAAGGGCTACCCCAGTGTATGGTGAAAGAGGCAAGAGGGTGGGCCTAGCAGCTCTAAGGAGACATTCCTTAATATCTCCAAAACCAAGCTCCTAGTCTTCCCCCCCCAGCCCGCGCACCCCCCCCCACTGACTTCTCCATCACGTCCAACAATAACACCATCAGGCCCACCCCGCAAGTCAGAGTACTTGGTGTCATTCTTGACTCCAATCTATCCTTCCAGCCCCAAGTCCAATCGCTAACAAACTCATG